TTCACGTTCATGCCTGCTCGACTCCAGGTGGGCTGATGACACTATCTACCACAAATAAACAATACGCTACTACATGTTTTTGGGAAAAAAACTTGCCTTGTTTATGAAAAAATAGTCAACTGTAGCACGATACTCCATAAAAATTATACTATGGTCTATGGTCTTGTTATTACCACTACCAACATTATAGGGCTCCGCCGACTACTCAAAGAATTTCAAAGTCCACTTCAGCATTCTACACAACTCTATTCTGACAATATCTCAAAACTTGCACTTGCTAACAAACTTTCATGTTTGCACAAAACATATAGAAATAGACTATCATTTCACTGCAATTGCATCACCACACCATCACCGTACATCAGATATGGCTTCTCAAGAGCAGTTAACAAACATTTTCACTGAATCGCTACCCATCCCTTGCTTTCAAGAACTTAGAACCAAGTTGTGATGAGGACATCGAAGATCAACGGCTACGATCGTGTCTAGTTATTTTGATGTTTTTGAATTGTTATTTGTACTTTTTCCTTTCTACCCTCACTTGAGGGCTTTGTCTTATGTTAGCCCTAGGGGCAATTATGTCTTTTATTTTCCCTCATGTATTTGGCTATTTAAGCCTTCCCCCTTCCTCTTGGAAAGAATAATGAATATTTGAATGAAAATTTATGTTTTGTTTCTACTTCTTCTTGCATGAGAGCTTGAGAAGGGAGAGAGCTCAAGGGGAGCAAATCGCAAGGCCCACCAGTCGCCTTGAAGTCGTTCAAGAGACGTCGTAACTAGATGACGTCGGATGTCACGGCAGCAAGGGCGCGGTATTCAGCTTCTGTTGACGACTTAGCCACGGTGGACTGCTTCTTAACGCTCCAAGATATGAGATTGGATCCCAAGTACGCGCAGAAACCAGAGATTGATTTGCGATCATCTGAATTTGATGCCCAGTCAGCATCAGCATATGCGGTGAGGCTGAGAGCTCCCTTGGTGATTTGCATACCATAGGATTGGGTTCCTTTGATGTACCGTATGAGAAGCTTGAGGCGTTTGAAGTCTGAAGCAGTTGGACTGTGCATATGTTGGCAGATGATGTTTGTGGCAAAGGCAATGTCCGGCAGTGTCACTGTGCGATATTGTAATGAACCTGCTATCTGTCGATAAAATGTAGGGTTGTCATACGATAGTGAATCAGCAGAGGACTTTGTTTCCTTGGGAGAGATGGGAGTAATCACTGGTTTGGAGGAGTCAAGGCCGGCTGAGTGAACTATGTCCCTGGCATAATGGGCTTGATGCAGAAAGAGACCAGTGGGTGTGGTTTGTATTTGAATGCCTAAGAAGAGATTGGCATTATCAAGTTGTTTGAGGGAGAAGGTCTGTTTAAGTTGAGCGAGGAGTTGCTGTAGAGTATGGTGGTCGTTGCCGGAGAGTAGAAGGTCGTCGACATAGATGAGCAGATAAAGCTGAATGCCGTTTCTGTCATAGATGAGTAAGGAAGGGTCTGCTTTGCTGAAGTGAAAACCGAACGCCTGTAGAAAGGAAGTCAGTTTGTGGAACCACTGACGGGGAGCCTGTTTGAGACCGTAGAGTGCTTTCCTCAGTTTACAGACATGGTCAGGTTGCCGAGGATCTACGAAACCTTGTGGTTGTTGTATACATCCTCCTGGAGATCGCCATGGAGAAATGCGTTGTTGATGTCGAATTGATGAATCGGCCAGCCCCTGTGGAGTGAGATGATGAGAAGGACTCTTATGGTGGGCATCTTAGCCACGGGGCTGAAGGTCTGTTGGTAATTGACACCTTTTTCCTGACGGAAGCCCTGTGCAACAAGTCTGGCCTTGTAGAGACTCACTATGCCGTCGGTGTTAAGTTTGGTCTTGAATGTCCAACGGCAGCCGAGCACAGGTGTATGAGTTGGCGGTGGAGTGAGATGCCAAGTACCTTGGCTTTGGAGAGCCATGAACTATGAGAACATAGCTTGACGCCAGTGAGAGAACTTTGCAGCTTCTGTATAGCACGAGGGAGTGGAATGATTATCTGTAACAGGAAGTAGATCAAAGATTTTCTTTGGTTTGAGAGTACCAGTTTGGAGTCGAGTAGTCATGTGGTGTTTCTGCGCGGGAGCTGGAAGATTTGAAATTTCAGGAACAGAGACGGGATGATCGGGAATAGTTTGGATGATGGGTGATTGAGGTTGATTTGATACGGTTGGTTCGACAGTGGGGGACAGCTGAGTGGAGGTTATTTGAGGAGTGGTGTAGGTGGAAGCCGGAACAAGCAGAGACGGCGGAATGAATGTAGCTGGAGAGGATGGTTTGTTAGAGGTTGAGAGTGTGTAAGGGAATTCCTGTTCATTGAAGGTTACATGCCGAGATATGTGAATTTTCTTAGTGCTTGGATTGAAGCACCTGTATCCTTTTTGTGCAGTAGAGTAACCAAGGAGGACACACAGAGAGGATCTCGGAGCTAGCTTATGTGGGGATTGGAGTTTGAACCAAGGAAAGCAAGAACATCCAAAGATTTTGAGATGGGTGAGAGATGGAGGATGTCCATGAAGAAGCTGAAAGGGTATTTGATTGTTGAGAGAAGAGGTGGGAAGGCGGTTAATTAGGTAATTCGTTGTTTGAACAACTTCAGCCCAAAAGGCGAAAGGAATGCTGGCTGCGTGAAGTAGAGTGCGAGCGATTTCTATGAGATGGCGATGTTTTCTCTCAGAAACGCCATTTTGCTCGGGGGTATAGGGACAGCTGAGCTCGTGGCGTATGCCGTGTTCGGAGAGAAATTTTTGAAAGGTGTATCCGGTGAATTCGCCGCCGCCGTCTGAGCATCGAGTTTTGATTGAAGTTGTGAATTGAGTTTTGATTAGTGAATGGAAGTGTTGAAATTTGTTAATAGATTCATTTTTGGAGTGCATTAGGTAGAGCCAGCAGAACCGAGTACAATCATCTATAAAAACAATATAATAGCGAAAACCAGAGTGAGATGGAAGAGGAGACGGTCCCCAAACGTCGGTATGTATTAAAGCAAATGGTGTATTTACATGAGTAGCTGCAGGAGAAAAGGGCAGCTTGTGGCTCTTGGCCACTTTACAGGAATTGCAGATAAAATGTAATAGCCCAAGATGGTTGATCGGAAGTAGCTTGGATAGATGGATCATTGAGCGATGGTGCGGATGACCCAGATGAGCATGCCAGAGGGAGGTGAAGTCGTTGGTAGTATGGAGAGCTTGAATTGAGGTGGGGCGAGGAAGACGGATTGGGTAGATGCCGTCACGGTTGTGTCCATGAAGCAGAACTTTGTTGTCCTGCAGATCCTTGAGAAGAAAGCCGTGAGAATCAAATGATATTGAGCAGTTATTGTCTTGCGTTAATTTAGAGATAGATAAGAGGTTGAGAGAGAGAGAGGGAACATGGAGCAGATTTTGTAGTTTTAGCTTACAGGATGAATCAGGGAGGGGAAGTAAACCGGCGCCAGTGTGATGGATGGGAAGAGATGAGCCACTTGCTGTCGAGATAGAATTCGTTCCCTGATATGGAAGAGAATGCTGAAAATTTGTGAGATCGGATGTAAGGTGAGTGGATGCTCCAGTGTCAAGTACCCAGTCGGTAGTGGCTGTGGGTTGTGACTGAGTGAGAAGAGCTCTATTTGGAGGTGCCGGTTGAGTATAATTGGAGTTATACCGATGCTAGCATGTTGAGGCAAGATGCCCGAGTTTTCCACAGATCTGGCAAGTGGGTCTGTCTGCAGGCCGTTGTGAGTTAGTGAGTTGCTTATGTGATGTTGTAGGCTGATTTAATGGAGCTCCCCTTCCACGATTTCCTCTGTAGTTTGAGGTGCGGCCTCGTCCTCGTGTGGTATATAGAGCATGTTGCTCGGATGTGACGGTGGTATCTTGCTGTATTTCGGTTTGTAAATTGATTTCTTCACTGCAGAGCAGTGAATACAGTGATTCGAGCGTCACTGGTAGAGGTGAGATTCTAATGGCAGCTTTGAAGGGATTGAAGGAGGCCGGTAGGCCTTTGAGTGTGTACAGGATGATGTCTTCAGTGTCAACATATCCTCCAGCTGCGACGATATTATCGACAAGTGACTTTACCTTGCCCAGGTATTAAGCGATCGTCTGATCCCTCATTTAGACGTTATGAAGTTCATTCTTCAATTGGATGACGCGAGAGCGGTTTGTGGGCTGCAGTCGTAACTCGAGCGCTGTCCAGATCTCACATGAGGTTTTAAGATGCAGTATGTAGGGGAGTACAGAGGAGGAAATGGTTGAAAACAGAGCTGAGATGAGGTTTTGGTCTATCAGCTTCCAGAGTTTGTGATCTTCATCGGAGGACTCTGGCGGGCAGGGAATCGTGCCGGCTATATATCCTTCAAAGCCATTTGCAGCGAAGGTCTGATGGATTTGAAGTCTCCATATGGCGTAGTTGTCTGTTGTAAGCAGGGTGTGGACAATGAGCTTGAGATTAGACATCAAAAATTTAAGGGAGGGAGGTATGACGGTGTTGGCCATGGAGGACGACAATGTGGATGTCGTCCTAGATTGGGTGGCTGAGTTTGGTTCTGTCATTGCTAGCTGGATGAAGAGGTAGTCCCAGTGTCACCGCTCTGATACCATAAAGAATCCTTTGCAGAGAGTGAAACAGAGAAAGGAGGAAGACGATGGTACAGAGAATGAAAGCTTTTTCATTTCATTGATTCAAGTGGAGCTGATACATTCGTTTTTATAAAGCCTTAAAGCAGACAGGTAGTTACGAAGTCAGACGGCCGTTGGCTGCAGGCCGAGTGTGCAGGCGTCGCAGACGATCGTGTCGCCGGAGCTGCTACAGAAGATCGTGGGCGGTAAGTTGTGCCGGCGGGTTGATGTAAGGTGTGCTAACAAATAGAACTATGTAAACTTGGCAAAGTTAAACAAAATCATAAAGACATGACCACAAAGGTAGATGAACAGTAAAAACACCAAATTAACAACAAAGTTTAATTGGCAGACAATATACTGAATTGTTATTAACCTCATTTCTCATGTAGACATTCCATGCATGTAGGGTTCCATCTCCGGATCCTGTATGTTGCAGTTTCAAAAGCAGTCATTATGCTATAAACATAGCTACCAAAAAAAAAAGAACTGATAGGCAGACATAATTTAAAGACATACATAGGTCCATCCAACTTTTGGATTTTAGCCCTTGAACAAAGGAGATTATTCTTAAATAGACTAGAAACACAACCTTACTATTTCAAAAGCCACTTGAACAAAGATAATATTGATATACCCGTAACTAGGTCGGCATTAATCCACAAAACAGTTATATACACGTTCGTACCCTTACAAGCTTGCAAAAGTGAATATTTTAGATCATTTCTAAAAGGAAAAACCCATCTTTGTCGTCCTAGTAACATACACCATGGACACATAAATGCAGAGGAGTAAACAAACAGCTACATGAACACATGATTTTGAACACAACTATTGACTGGAATCTGCTCGAGCTGTCGAGAGATAGGACATGGAATACACTAGGCATAGCTATATATATATATATATATATATATATATAAACAGGGAAAGGAAATGAAACGACAGGGTCCTGTGAGGCAATGTGATTCATAAAATCTAATAGAATCTATGAGAAAGAGCAAAGAGTAGAATACATCCAGGCTAAGATTAAACAACGAAGTTTAAAAAAAAAAACCTGGATAACTAGACTCAACAATGATAACAGCTTACAAACAACGATAATAATTAGTAAAGCTGAACCCAGCTAATTTAAAAAGAGCTAATGTTGAAGAGAGCGAGAGGTGAACTGGATGTGGGGCTCTAGAAAGCAGATCAAAGAATGAATGCATTACACAATTCATGGTTATTTCAACCATAGATGAATTTGCATAATTGTCAGATCGCCAACCATTTGGTCATTGGTGATGCAGCCACAATGGAAATTAAATTAAGGAGGCAATAAATTTACATCGAAAACAAACCCCAAGCTAACTAGTAAAGAAAGCATGTTACTTAGTAGCTTATTTGTTCAAGGACGTTGCTTATGCTATCTCATGATTACTTCTTAGACAACCCTTCAACAGAAACTCTTTTCAGTTTGACAAAGCTAAAAATTAGTACTCAGAATGATAAATAATAATTTTCTACACAAAGCAACTTTCAAACATAACAAAAAAAGTAAATCACATCATCTGAAATAGTACCTCTATTTCATAAACAAGAGAATTCGGAATACACAGTTAAAAGTGTAAAAATATATTTGGAAACAAGAAAAAGAATGTAGGAATGATAAATTGATTAGAATCTATAGGAATAAAGGAGATGGACGTAGCAAATGAACAAAAAATATAGAATATCGTTCATATAGTTTGAGAGTTCACAGTTTACACGTCCATGTATGTGGCAGAAGATACATAATTTCCAACCAGTGGGGATACAAAATGATTCTGGAACAGTTTTTTTCTTTTTCTTTTTTTTTTCTTTTTTTTTTTAAGCAATAAGCATATAAAAATATATACGATGAGATATACCTGAAACAACATATTTTCCATCTGGAGTAAAAGTAGACTCAGTTGTTGTATTGAGAGATGGTTCTAAATTGAACCCACACCGCTGCGTAAGATAATAAAGAAAATTAGGGTACATAGCTGGAGAACGAGCCAAGACCCTAATAATAATTTCAACAAGTATTTAAGATTCCAAGCTATTAATATAGACAACCAACCTTATCTCCACAGTAAGCATCCAGAACATAGATATTGTTGCTTGTTGTTGTTAAAAGCATGGACTTTCCATCATTACTAAATTTGATATCACAGACTTCAGCTGTGTCTCCACCCACAAGAAAGGTGTCAAAGGGACCCTGATGCAGAGCCAAAATAAGAAATCCATACAAGAAAATGGCCTATACGGTCCTTACAAAGAGTACACCTTGTCATAAGATCGTGAATCAAACAACTTTATAGCACCCCCTTCCATTGCTACAGCAAAAACAAGGCCCTGCTGATCATATGCAACACTTGGCCTACCACGCAACCGCAATATTCCCTGGAGACTAAAAAGGTAGTCGTGAATAAAATCAGCTAGCATAAACTTAATTTCTGCCAAACTTATAGTACTTAATAATATCTTTTACAATTCTTATACAAAACTTTAACATCAAAAGAACTCTGACCTGACAAGCATTCACCCGGAGATCCCAAATTCTAACACTGTGGTCAAGAGAACCTGACATAAAACTGTCATTGATAGGAGACATGCAAAGGGAGACAACTCTACAATCAACATGCAAAAGAATATGTTATAAGTAGACAAAGAAAGAATTTAAAAATACATTTGTAAATCAATGTCTTCAAATAGCAAAAGACTCAGCACCTTTTGTTATGCCCCTTGAAGTAGCGCAGACACCGATTATCGTACATAGAAAGGTACCTCAATGATTCTGATAATAAATAATTGGGCATTAACTATTGACTATATTGATGATTCTTAATATATATTTGCATAGTAATTATTGTCATAAATAGAAAGGTATATCAATGATTCGGACAATAAAAACTTGCACGCTAATTAATTTACGTTGCAAGCTTTAAAATCATACTGAGAAAAACAATGGGTGATTTCAAGAAATTAACCATTTGTAGACTCCAAATTGTATCTTGACGAACATATAATGGAACTTGGATGATGTGTGAAGCAGATTCTGTCAGTGCCATGTTTCTTATGATACATTGTCTTCAACAATCTGCAGCCAAGTTCAATCTATCACAAGTTGGGATTAAAGTAAAAGAGGCAATGATAACACAATACTCCATTATAGGCCTGAGACCCTCACCAGGTTATAACTTATAAACGCCATGACGAAACTAATTCTTTGACAAAAGGGAAAGTTTGTTTACTTCAACAAGTGATATCTCAGTCATACAAAAAAATAAAAAGATCATTGCCTTTATAAGATGGTTATTCCTTCAAAGCTCAAACTGGATATCAAAGGGAGGATTTGAAAAATGCGGAAATATGTTTTGCTAGTGAAGTTACGCAGCAGGGGAAAAGAACAATTTAATCAAACCAATTGATTTTAGCACAGAGGTCTGAAAAAGTCAAAATAAAAAATCAACATTGACAATATGCTTACATGGCATCAACAATATTATAGAGTCGCACTGAATCATCTTCACTAGCAGTGACCAGTAAATCTTCTTTACGATGAAAATCAAGAGAAGTGATACTCCCTCCCTGGAAAATAGATTGAGAGAAAAGATGCAGTCAAATGCTACAAGAACGAGATAAAAAGCACATAGGAATTCAAAGTTGTGAAAATCGGATAAGACAACTAACCGGAATATAGAGAGGTTTAACGTTCAATGGTTCAACCAGGATCGAACCAAGGTTGAACCGAATGACTAATAAATATCAAAATTATTTAAATGTCATCTAAATAATATATAATGATAAAATAATTATGCAATAATATAAATTGGGGGCTAAAAATTAAATAATATTAATACATAAATAATATATTCCATAATTTTAAATTTAAGCATATTGTATCTTTAAATTTAATAAATATTTAATAAAAAATTTGTTTACATAAAAGTTTATAAATTTAATATAAGTAATTTTTAATTTATGTCATAGGTTTAGATACAATTTATAAACATAAATTGTATACAAAATTTATATTATAAAATTACATCTATAAATTCAAGTAATCTAATTCATTTTTATATAATATAATTAAATAAATACAGGAGCTGTCACTTGTGTTCAAAAACAAGGTGGTTTGACCAAGTATTTTCCTATTTCAGTTGGATTATATCAAGGATCAGCCTTAAGCCCATATCTTTTTGCTTTAGCCATGGATGTTCTCACTAGACATTTGCAAGAGGTTGTACCCTGGTGTATGCTTTTTGTTGATGATATTCTTCTTATTGATAAGACTAGAGAGGGAGTTGAAGGTAAACTTGAAGTCTAAAGGCTTTCGTTTGAGTAAATCTACAACTGAATATATGGAGTGCAATTTAGTAATAATAGATCTAGTGGTGGGATTTTGACTTTGGGCGATCAAGTCATTAATAAGAGCACATGTTTTAGATATTGTGGGTCTATTGTTCAAAGTGATGGTGAAATAGATGGGGATATTATAAATAGAATTTAAGTTGGATGGTTGAAGGAGGATTGAACTGGGCTTGTTGGGTGATAGAAAAGTCCCTCTCGAACTTAAGGGAAAATTCTGTAAGATGGTAGTGAGACCGGTAATGCTTTATGGTGCAAAATGTTGGCCATTAAAAGAGAAGCATAATATCAAGTTAAGTGTTGAAGAGATGAGGATGCTTAGTTGGATGAGTGGCTTTACTCTTAAATATAGGATATGAAATGAGCATATATGTGAAAAAGTTGGAGTAACTCTAGTGGAAGATAAGATTAGAGAGAGTCGCATTAGATGGTTTGGTCACATAAAACAATGGCCTTTTAATGACCCGGTTAGGAAAGTAGATGTATTAGATTTGACTTATGTTAAGAAATGTAGAGCTAGACCTAAAAAGACTTGGTTAGAAAGTATTAAAAATGATCTTCATTAATTAGATTTAAATGAGAATTTGACCAATAACAAGACACGATGGAGAAAAAGGATTCATGTAGCTGAACCCATATAGTGTGATAAAGGCTTGTTGTTGTTGTTGTATAATTAAATAAATTAAAAACTTAAATATTATCAACTAAAAATTAAATAATATTCACATTATAAAAATTTAATAAAAATATATGTGTAGAAATATATAGTGTATGTGTAGTGAATTTGAGATCTTCACCTTAATTTTTTAGTCTCACATCACTTATGCACTATACATTTGCATTGTTTAGATTGTTTTTTGGGTTCACAAGGGCAAAAAAGTCACATGGAGTGATGAGGCCATGTGAAAAAGCAAAGTTAATGCTTATTTAATAAATAATTATTATAAAACTTAATACATATTTTAAAGTAAACATAAATAAAATTCAAATGAATTAATTTAATAATATACTAGCTTGTTTTAAAATTTCATTATTTCATATAAAATAACCAAACCAATTTTTTAAAACCGGCATCGGTTCACCGATTAACCGGTCGAACTGCCGGTTTGAACCGGTAAAACCAATCCGCTACAAAACCGATTTTGGGAGTGAAATGGACCGGCTAGAGATTGGTTCACAGTTCGACTGGAGCATCCTGCCTCTAACTGTAATGAAATTCATCTACCTGAGCATCCTCATGTCTGCAACACTTAATTTTATGATTCTCTTTTAATGGACAATTTTAAAACCTAATTTTTTTAGGTTATACTCTAATTCAATTAAGGATGTTGAGCCTAAAAGATAGTCAAATGGTTTGCTTAAAAAATTATTTATTAAAGTGTGATTCCTTTCGTGATTCATGTATTACTTATCCTAAGACGGTAATTGAAGAATGAATGTGGATAGTATAGAAATTTATAAAACTATCATCAAATATTGATTTTATATACCTATATTTGATACTCTATTGGAAATGATAAGTAGAGCTGTTATATTTTTAAATATTGATCTAAGAACTTGTTATCAAATAAAACTTACTCTTGATGCTTTTTTCACAACATCTTATGTCAATTTATCATCAAAAGAAAATCAACTCATGTTAGCATTTAAAAAGTAGCATTCGCCCTAAACCTTAAGACTCTAAATCCCTAAATCTTAAACCCTAAATCCTAAGCCCTAAGCTCAAAACCCAAAATAACACCAAACCCTAAACACCAAAACATAAACCGTAAACCCTAAACTCTAAATTCTAAACATAAAATAAAAGTAAGACGCTTGCCTCACTGCTTGATGCAGTACAGCAAGCCGCACTCCTAGGCACACCCTGAAATGATGCACGCTTTGAAGGTACGTGCACTGTAATACCTTCGCCTCGCCTTGCCTCATTCGAACATGGCCACCTTTAATAACACTGAAACTGTGTAAAAGGTTTATGCATTCAAGCTCTTCAAAAACCCAAACTCGGGCATCTCACAAGGGCATCAAGTGCGCTAAACCCAAGCAGCGAAATTTGGGCCGCTTGGAAACTATATCCAACAGTTCACCTTCAACTAAAACCAAATCCCTAATGTGCCAGTAAAGAACATGACTGAACATCAATGGAAAGAAGATAAAATCATAAGAAGAAAGGGAATGAAGCGCAGAGGACTCACATAGTCGGTAAATGCGGCGCCAACGGCCATACTTTGCACCATCGTGTCGTCTAGCTCTGCAATCGACATGCTTCGCCGCCTTATCGTGAGCAAATAATAGTTCTTCCAAAAAAAAACCTCTTAAACCAACGTTTCAGGAGCAGCGGACGCAAAATCACGTCTGATAAAATTTACCAGTATCGACCCACTCGATTGAGAATGGACAGGTCCGCGAACATGACATGAAGAGAACCCCGATCGGGACTTGAGGAATAGCCCTTTTTTTTAAGCTACTCTCAAAAAAAAATATTTAATTGGCATGAATATGACGTAATAATTAATTAAAGTGATTTAATCCAACTTCAAAGCAGATTATATCAAGCAAGTGCAACATATTTAGAAACTTTTAAATATTATTGGGGAACCAAATGATCTTCAATTATGTCATTTTTATAGTTAAATCGAGCAGCTCAACAAGATGAATCTAACAATCTAAATATCACTCAATTATATCATCATTACTGCATTCAAATGTTTATTAAATAATCTATGAACAAGGAGATTACTTGGACCATACGATAATGTATTTTGGATCATGGTCATATTTGTTAAAATGCTCATCCCAAAAATATTAAAAATATAGCATTATCCTCTACAAGGGGGAGATTGATGAGTTGAGAGAATTAAAAATTTATCTTGCATTTTTCGACTATCACTGTCAATAAATTAACCACCAACAGCAATCTCCTACAGCATCTCAAGATTCCAGTTAAGATCCAACCATATTGTTGGGTTATTAACTATATGTATGTGGACATATGAATTCTATAACCCCTACTAGGGGAATTAGTCAATTGCTCTCATCATAATCTAACATTATTCAATTGTGATGAATGGAGGATTTTTGTTTCTCCTATTCTATAGTTAATTATTATAAATGAGCCATGCTTGGTGATTTTTTCATGTTAATTTTTGCTTCTCCTATTTTGTAGTTGATTATTATAAATGGGCTAAGCTCTGTGAGCTTTGCAAGTTCAGAATTTTCCATGTCAAAAAAATTTGTTCTATCAACTTTGATCTATGTGTGATGATTTTTTGTACAAAGTTAAGGCTTGAACATTACTTTACAGACATATATTTTCTAGCACATAACGATATTATTTAAAAAAAATAGAATACAAAATTCAAATTATTCAATATTATTTATGGAAATTAATAATCTAATTATAAAGTATTCTAATTGAATCTCCTAAAAGTTAAATATACAATATCCAAATCAAACTCAAGGGAATAATAATAAAAAATTATAATTTAAATTTTAAAATAAAATGCTCTTAACAGAAATATATAATAATAAGTGAAATTTTTAATTCAAAGATACAATTTTTCAATCAATTAAATAATGTAGAAAAGAATATATTTTAATTAATATAACACAAATATATTAGTATATTAAAGATGCTTGTATTTGTACAACTTTAGCTTCTCATTTCATGTTTAACATAAATAAGGTAAAGAAAATGAACTATTAATGAATGTAGATGAAAAGCTCTCTTTTTCTCGCTAGTCTTATTAAAGTCAGGGGTGGGCCTAGGAAAAACTCCTGTTGTTATAATTAGTTTTGTATTATTTTAATGTCAGATTTAATATTAATATACCCAAATTAAGTGCACAATAAATAGTTAGATATAAATATTTTCTCTTGCAATCAAATGCTTAAAATACTACACAAAAGTTGTTGATAGTTTTAAGATAATATTTGAGTTTGTTAAATTAAAAATGTCATAACTACCAATCTTCTAAATTTATTTTATTATTTAATTTAACCTATATTTAAAAAAAAAGGAAGAAGAATAGTCTCCATAAATGATGTGAAAGGGGGGTAGAAGAGATAAATTGAAGAAAAGAATTCAAGGCCTCTAAGGGTTGGACAAACATCACGATCACTTACTTGTGAAAGCTCATAATCACATCATATGGATCATTGTGTATGCTAATGTTCTACATGAAAAAGGAATAAAATTTAGAAGCAAATAAAGTAAATACATGTATGTCCCATCAAGAATGTTCAATCCATAATCATGTACATATGCATTACAATTGCCATGGAATCTCTTCAAATTAGCTATCATTTATAAAAAGTCAACTTCCAAACCATTTTAAAGGGGGCAACAAACTAAAATAGAATTTGAAAATTTGCACAACCATGCATTGAGCTATTTAAGATTCAGAGAGAAGATAATAAGAGACCCATGAGAAACCTGAAATATTATTAATGAAAGTTTATCATCTTCTATCTTATAGTACGAGAATTCCTTCATGTTAATCCACTTAAAATGTGTGGTGACTTTTCATTTGAATCTCTTTTTTTTTTCAAACTTCTCTTCTTTCAAGTGGATGTATCTCTAAAATTAGGCAATAATCCAACTTGACAAATTGGCCTCCCTTCTTCCCTAAATCATCTTAATTTACTCTTCGTGAACAAGTAAAATATCAACTTTTATGAGGTATTGATTCATCATAAACAATTTCCATCATTTGGGGCTCTCATTAGGGTAATCAAGTTGGTTGAAAAATAGATGGAGATAAGTGTATAGCCTACAAATCAACTTTTACCACCGCTGCTCTATATCAGCTCTAGTGATAAAAGGTTTCTACTAGCTAGTGAAGACTTGTTTCAGTTTCTCAAACATTATAGCAAGATTGGTTTTTAATTTCTCAAAGTTAAAATTTTAAAGTTTTTTAACCAACTAGGGGAATAGAATGCTAAGAAAATCAAGAAACCCCTCAACCTAAGGAATTGGGCTCATGGTATAAATAATTAATTATATTTTTTTCTCTCTTATTTATGAATATGCCTAGTCTAATCCATTATGGTTGAGACAATCTTTAAAATTGCACCATCCTTTTATTAGTTCCACCAAAAAAAAAGCATTGAAACTAACAAAAAATAATAAAAATACTATATTTCTATCTTCAATCTTTTAACTTAGTTCTAATAATGCATAATAGTGACTAGTAGGACATCAAATGTGACACTTCCCTTATGATGACACCTCTTCATGGTGGCAAGTCAAAATGAGTGATGATAATCATTCTAGCAATAATCTAAGACTTTAATCATATTGATTATGATGAGCGAAAGCATAATAAGTTCTTAAGAATGTATCATGTCAATAAAACTCAATGGATACTAATATTGTCATTTGTACCCTATTCATATTATCTCATCATTAAGATTGAAGCCCAACTTAGAAATGAATGGTTCATAATGGCTGATCTAAGTGAGGACTAAGGGGTCCCGTGTCCTCTCTAAAGTTTATGCTGTCTTAATATATTGTGTATTTTTGCTTGCTTAATTGTAATTTCACAAAAATATTCAAATTTTTAGGTTAAAAATACTTATTTAAAATATTAAAGATATTTTTAAAATAATCAATTTGTCCCTCTAAAATAATTCATGGCTCGACCACTAAATTGATTCAACCTACTTTGTATCGACAAGATTGCCTATGCTTACTATTTAGGTACTAGGACTGCTTATTCATCTAAACCATAGTGTCAACTCAAATTATATTACTACATTGAAGATCATGTATCAACTTTGTTGGTATTTTCAATTTTTAATGCCTCAACATGCACAAAAAATTTGTGGGATGCTACTCCAGAAAATAATGAAATTTACTAGCTAATGCATGTGATTGAAAATATCCATTTCAGAAAAATTCAGCATTCTCTCCAATCAACACTATTCACTCATAGAAAAACTAAGTTAAAAAAATATTATATTACTTTTATCTAATAAGTCCTCCTTAAAAACTCCAAGATCTATAAAACATGAATGCACTTAGTTACATATTTTTACGTACAAAAACATAAATCCAATAATCAAGAAAGAAAATAAATATTATATACAATAATAAAAATATTTTATTGACATGATTAAAGTTTGCAATCCAAAAGAATTGATGAATTCTCATAATATATCAGTGTATATATATACATAGAGAGAGAGAGAGGAGGATATTACATATCTTCATCATTCATTAAACCCAAAAAGGTGTGACACTCCAAAATATAAATTGAAAAATACACATCTTTCTATCTTTTATACATCAATCATAGTTCATAGGATTCAATATAAGCAAAAAATATAAATACATTACTATTCAAGGCATATTTACATATCCGACAAGTTCTCAAAATACATTTATTCAATAGCCTACAATGGCTACAAAATAATACATAAAATCAAACAGCAAAAAAATACCCAAGCTATCACCCATTGATTAGCCTCACTTTGCAGGCTCCTTACATTTTCCTGAAAGCATATAAAAGTCATATAATGAGCAAATAGCTTATTAAGTAAATAAAAATCACAACTACATTTAATGCAAGATAAAATAATTAATATGCTTGCTCTAATCTCAGCAAATATCAATCAATAGCTACCAGTATGAACAATAAGCAATATATAAAATTGATATCAATCAACAACAAAACTAATATGATCAGTAAAATTATATTATTTAAGAAGCAAAATAAATCTATCAATTTATAAGGGAAATTAGTAAAAGACTATCAATCAAGAACAAGTGTTGTATAATGAAACAATCCTAAGATATTAATCACTTATATTCACGTTGATAATCCTTTCACATACTTCTATTAATCATTATGTCATGTATAATTTTTTAATATTATACCATGTTAGTGTGTTATATCAACATACTATATCAGTATGCTTATCAATGTATTATATTAATATGTCTATCAATATCTATCAATGTCCCTATTGTATGTTGTGTCATGTTATATCAATATCAATGCATATTTTATCTATCAATCAATTCATATATTAACATGTAAATGCAATCATGAATGATATTATGAATAGCAAGACAAGACATCCAATTTTAATGTGTTATTTTCATTATTTAATTTAACACCAATTCTCGACTAGTTGGTTATTAGTCTATATCTTACTATTATTGTTCATAAATCTTAAATTAATCACAAGTAGCTTTCAGTAAATCATTAAGAGTCGTCACTCTCTGCTAATCGATGCAATCTATAAATATGTTAATCAAGAATACACCATAACCATCTTTAAAGAAAAATTTGTTGGCACACCCTTTAAGGGCCAAGCCATATTAATTATAATGTTGACAGTCAGCCTTCCTTGCTTACATAAAAATAATATATTTATCTTAAATAAATCATATTATTTTCTCTATGCAATAT